TTAGACTAGACATAAGAAAGAAATTTTTTACAATGAGGGTGGTGAGGCACTGGAACAGGTTGCCCAGAGAGGTGGTAGATGCCTCATCCCTGGAAACATCCCAGGCCAGGTTGGACGGGGCTCTGAGCACCCTGCTCTGGTTGAAGCTGTCCCTGTCACTGCAGGGGTTGGGCTGGGTGGGCTCTAAAGGTCCCTTCCATCCCAAACCATTCTCTGATTCCATGATTTTTCTTGCTCCAGAGGGACTCTTAAGAAGAGATCGCTCTGTTTTTATCATAATATTGTCTTTGCACTTGCCTGCTTCTTCAGCACCCACAGTTCAAGTTCATGTTTCACTAGCTAAGAGAAGCTAAGAGGGTGCAGCTCTGACAAGCGAGCCGTTGAGCAGTCGCAAACCCCATGTGCCGTACGGCACAGGCAGCCCCGAGTTTGCCTACGGAGCCTCTCCGGCTGCCGATGATGTGCTGGCCTCGTAGCCATGCTCGGTTCTCCCCGCGCTCCAGCTGCACCTCGGCTGGCACGCGTGCGCTCGCTGCCTGCGCAGCCCCTTGCCAAGGCACCCTCAGCACACCAGGTACAAATACTTCTTAAGGTTAGTCTGGAGGAGAACCAGTTCCTGGAGAGCACAGGAACAGCTCGATCCTTGCACCGTGTGAGCATCCTCGCTTCGCTACGCTACCAAGAGACCTTGCAGGTATTTGAAATTATTCGTCGAGATCACAGATAAGGAAGATCTCAATCAGTGCTGGTATGAAACCTTGCAAGGAGAGCAGCTCAGCAGTTTAAAAAAAGAGCAGGGGAGAGAGTTAGAGATTATAATCTTCGCTCTCAGAAGGATTTCATTTCCATTTCAATAAGTGAGTCCTGGGCCGTCAGTCCTACGTTCCCTCACCTCTGGCTACACAGAACACAGCGACCTTAATCGGGCAGCTGGCTGATCACCTTCCGTTTCTGAGACCTCCTGAGTTTGTCTCTATTACGATGGGCTGTTATTTTCCTCATTTTTTTCTGACCTGCCAGGAGCCCTTGGAAAGGTGAGTGGGAAGCTAACTGGTGCCAGCCCGGCTACGGATGCTGGCAGTGCCGCTTCAGAGCCCTTCCTACGGCGTGTGCAATGCAGGTTACGCTGAAAATGGAACTTTTTTCCCTCTTAGAACAGTCTTTTAGCCCATTCCATATGAAAAGTTTTGGAGAGACATTGCCAGCGTATGGCACATAAGTGATTTCATACTACTTCTTCTTCTTAAGTAATACATTTTCTATGTGTATTGCAGCAATTCGTAGGACTGCGCTAACTTACCTGTCTTGGGTTTGAGTCTGTGCCAGTCATACGTGAACAAAATTGCTGTACTTAGGCCGGGGACTGACAGAAAGAGTGCTTGAAGGGCTGTAACAGTACTTAAGAGCAGCGCGGAGGCTGACCTTTTTCCTCTTTAATCCTCCCTCTGTCATTTCTACAGAGAGATACTCCAAGAAATTCAGCGCCTCAGGCTGGAACATGAACAAGCCTCGCAACCCACCCCTGAGAAGGCCCAGCAGAACCCAACTTTGTTGGCCGAACTCCGGCTTCTACGGTAAAAGAAATACCTAAAGCCCGTGCGCGTTCGGCACCAGTCAGCCCATGGGCTCTGCTCTGTGGCACGGGCAGCGCTGGCTGTTGTTGGGGAAAGGGTGATATCGGCAGGTCTTCAGCGACCTTAAAGGGTTATTTAAAATGCTGAATTCCAAAGACTGACAGCAGATTGCAATTTGCCCTTTTTAAGTGGGTTTAGAAGTAAATAAAAACGTCTCTGAAAATGAATTCTGTTTGTGTAGTTCAGAAAACTGTAAAGAAGAAACTGATAGGAAAAAGTAGCAGAAATGGCATTAGCTGCTTATCATTTATTGTGCAAAGGAGTGGAGTTGAAGGTAAATGTCAGTTATTTTATTAGTCAGTGAAACTCCCAAAGTTCATACCTACAGATAGTCAGACATACATCCAAAGCTGGAGAACAATCTTCAAAGCCTCTTTGATGAAGTTTGCATTTTGAAGTGACAAGGAAAATTTGTCTGTACTTATAGAATAAAGTGTTTCATAGTTTGGGTAGTCACAAGGGCATTCTCTGGCCATATTTTATTTCATCTTCTATTACTAGTTAATTCAGGGCTCAACCTTCAAAAATGCCATCTGTAATCTAAAGTAGGTTCTAAAATTTAAGCTCTTGGCGGCAGCAGCTCTTTGCAAAGTGCACTGTATTTCATTCGTTGGGGTAAACTTTTCCTGCCCACTTCGGAACTGGTGCAGTTGTTGTGCTTCCCAGGAACGCGTGAAGGTTTTCCATGAAGCGCAGTGCTCTTGCGATGGAGCCACTGCAACTGCCCCAATCCAGCCCCATGTTGCAAGATCTAAGGCTTTCAACGTCTTTCATTACTTTTTCGAAAAGAATTTGCAACATTATAGCACATTTTGGTATTTCAATGATATTTTTCATTCCATTACCTTATGATAATAGCTCACAGATTTTATAACTTTGTACTTTACATAGCTATGTATATATATTTTTTTTTTAACTGTTTAAAAAACTGAAGAGGATGCCAAAGATACCCGCAAATGTTATGCAAGAGGTGGAGAAGAAAGAGATTGCTGGGCAACTTGATGTGCTGTTTGACCCAACAGAGAAAGGTCTAAGAACCAAGAGCGTAAACTGGAAACCAGCCACATTCAGACCACAAATGAAACAATATGCTTTTTAAAGCGCGGCAATAATCTCAAGAGCGGTGATAGGGTTTTCAGTCCCTAGGTGTCTTTCCTGAAGATGTTCTTCCAAAAATACAGGTTATTGGGAACAAAACAGAGCTAACCAGGAGGAATTAGACAGCCTGTATTTTGCTAAAGAAAAAAATGCTGAAGGAGCATTGCAGCCATTTCTGGCCTTCAAATATGTAAACGCCACTGGCAAATAGAAGAGTTATGAAAGAAGAAGAAGGTTGAATTAAGCGTGTAAGCCTGTCAAGTCATCATGATGTCCAGTCTGGCCTTCTGTGAAACACAGGCTGGGAAATTTCTCCCTGCAGTGCTCGTACAGAACCCTTTTTGACTGCATCCATGTGAGACAGACGTTCAAGCTTTCATTGTAGAGATGGAAAGAATACCACGTCCCCCGATGCTGTTAATGTGCTCATCAGTTAATTTCTGTGCCTTGTCTGCGCTCAGTGGGCTAAAAGTGTGCATGTTATCTCTGACCTCCATAAG